TATTTTTTTTTTGTACTTCGCCCGCAGCCCCCCATAAGTTATCATTATCATTATCATTATCATTATCATTATCATTATCATTATCATTATCATTATCATTATCATTATCATTATCATTACCATGATCATTATCATTATCATTATCAAAACGAAATTTCTGAAATTATGGGATTTGTCAGGATATTCTGAAAGAACAATGTCCAAGAGGCCTACTTACCTAAAATGAGCATTTCGGGGCAAATTGTCTCTGAGATGTTAGCCGGTTAAACTCAGAAAACTCCATACAAACCCTTCTAATTTTTTTTTGGGTCGAGCCAAAAAAAATTTAGAAGGGTTTGTATGGAGTTTTCTAAGCATAACTGAGCTACGATCTCAGGGACAATTTGCCCAGAAAGGCTCATTTTTGGCAAATAGGCCTCTTGGGCATTATTCTTTCAGAATATCCTAACAAATCCCATAATTTCAGAAATTTCATTTTTATGACGTCACAGTTTAGTACTCTATTATACGCATGTTTTACGTTTGCTTTTCGCCTGCTTTTAGTGGATCCAGACTCCGGGCCCCGGATCTTGACATTACTGTTGAAAGTAATTTGCATACTTAGTAACAAAACGTTCGCATCGGCGCTTTATCCTTCAGATTAGCGCTTCCTTCTGCGGTGTCCAGCAGCATTTTGAGACAAAAGCTGTTGACAGTTAAGGAAGAGAGGGTTTACTACGTGTTTACTAAGCGAAACTTCGTTAGAAAGCATGCGTGTTGTTTATGAGTCTCAAAGAGAGTTTAATATAGAACGGCAAACTTCAACAGATGGCAAGGGGAAACCTTTTGCCGTAAACCTAGACCTGAAAAAAAAAGAATAAGGTAAGTACTTTAACATTTAGAACTTTGTGCGTGAATATTGCCAAGACTTTTTAGGACAGACGTTTCATGACCTTTGCCTAGTCGACTGACGATGGTGACGCATATGTTAAAGATGGCGTTACTTTGTGTTGTTGGCAAAACGATTTTCAAATAATTTCTGAGAAGCTCAAAATGACTTCCCCAACATAATTTTTACATAACATAAACGTTTGATGCCTGTAGTGTATTTCCCTTCAATTCCGATCAAAGGTACATGATAACGACCTTTCGTGGGTAAACATCAGGTAGCCGTACGCTTTAGCTTTTTTATAATTACTCAGACTGTTGTAATGCTAAAAATATTATATATTTTGATCAACGACGAGTTAAACTTAAAATTTTAACAATAAGTTTTTTTTTTCCGAGCGCGGTTGTATTGGAACGCGAGTCCAGCGAATCATGATGAATTTCAACCCTATTTTTGACTTGCGAAATCGACAGTGGGGCTTGAAACGGTTTTCTTCGTTTTTCTCGGAAACGAACAGATCTTTCGAAGAAAAAACTACATAGCGTTTGTATACTTACTAAAGTCTTTGTATACTTACTAAAGTGTTTTTTTTTCGTTGAGCCTAATTTGTAGTTCACTTTTCAGGAGCACCGATGGAAGCAAACCGTTCTAAATAGCATTTACTAAATATAAAATATGAATATTTAATTAGGTAGTCGTGCCTTAAGTGGCCTGAGCAAAACTAAAATATAGAGTATTGCAGCAATTAAGCAAATTTTCATTGAAATATTGCGGTGCGGTTCTCTCTGACAAGCTTTGTTGGGCCAACAATGTTGGGAGTTGTTGCGTCCGTTTGCATGTAGCTTAACTCTCAAAGCAAAGCCAAAACTAACTCATAAAACGTTTGCTAGACGCTGGGCGCGATCCATTCAACCCAAATTTCCGGAAATTTCGGTCCAAAACTGAATGGATCGGTTCGGTCCAACCGGAAAAGTTTCGAAAAAACTGGTCCACCTTTTGAGGTGGTCCTCTTTTCCCGGTCGGACCGGTCTGGATTTTGGTTCAATGGATCGCGCCCGCTTACTAGTGGTGGTCGCTCAATGAAAGTTCACCTATTGACACAAATACATTCAAGCTCAGCTCACCCTAACTTAAAACTTTTAATTGTTTAGTTGAAGGAGAGAAACAACGCTTATATAGGCCTTACTTTCATCCCAACAACAGGTGCTGAAGATGCTGTAATAAACTTCCGCAGGTTTTGGCGAAAGCATGTTCTTCCACGAGAGGATGATCACCAGGATGAAGGTTTCTATCTCGAATGTTTTGTTGAAGACTCCAACCAATCATTTATTTGCTAAATCAAAAAAAAAATTGCAAAAACAGAATAGATCAACTGCATAACAGATCAGTGTTATCTGAAAATCACCCATAACGCACGAGAAACAGGGAAACCCTTTAGAGCAAAGTTGAAAAAGTACTGTCACTTGTAAGGTACCTTATTTGGTTAAAGATAAGGGACTCTACAGTTTGAAACATAAAATTGATTGTTATTGGCGAGTCCAAAACACCAATTAAATATAATTTACTCCTAGGCTATTATTATTTAGAATAATTATAGTAACAGAAGGTAGTTTTAGTCTAACGGTCAGTTATAATTACGTGCAGTGTAATAAAAGGAAAACTAAAAATACATTACACGTAAGGAAATGCCTAGCATCTAAATAATATAATACGCCGCACGCTATCTTAGTGAGTGACAGGAACGACCCGCTTTGAGAGTGTTGATATAATCTGTCAAATTTGACCAATCAGAGGGAATACCAGGAGCTGGTATACCGGAACGGGTCGTTTAAAGAAATGATTACGGGCTCCGCCGCCCCTCCTCTCCCCAGTTTCCTCCCGTTTTATTTTCGTCTTCGTGCTCTCTCAATTCAGCGGACCCGACTATCTCGGAGCCTGCAACAGGCTAGTCTAGATCGCGCAAAATTAGGCGTTTATCAATTTCAAAATTTTGTTTATTGTTGTCATAGTAATATTGATTTTACTAAAACCCACATTTTGACAAATTTCAATTCAATAATCAATGATATTGGTGAAAATTTTATAGCGATCAGACAAGGATAAAATCACTTTTAAAGTGATTGAAAAATATCGGTACGGCCTATGAAAAACTATTTTATCAAAACACCTTAAATACATGAGTAATGAGCTGGTGAGAAGATTATTGTCGTAACTACTAGTGATTGGCTAAAGGTCGCCAGTGATGATGATTTTGTTGTTCTTGCTATTGTTACCCATAGAACGAATTAACGACGATACAGATGGAACTAACATAAGTGAAGGTAAATAGTCATAAATGGTGATAGCCATAAGGAAAAAACGTATCAGTGCTAAAAAATTATAATTTATATAGGTAATAGTATGAGCTGTAGTAATATTTGGCAATAATACCGCGAGTAATATTTCAAAATTGTCTAAAATACCACGAGCCGCGAAACTTTTGTTGCATTTGGTCGTTTTCCGTAGTCTTTCTCGCGAAGAGCTCTGTCTTGCTTTTCCCTCCGAGGACTTGTCTGCACACCATTAATTCTCTCTCCTTTACTGTGGAGATTTTACTTTCATTTTGTCTCTGGTGTCTGTCGATAGCAGCCAACGTGACCCGAATTTCGGCAAAGAATCGCGAGAGATGTTCGTTCAGTTCTTTGGCATAGTATTTTAAAATCAATTATGTCGTCGTTAAGATCCCATGGTTGTCGCCCACATCTTCCAAACCTTGATCCAAGTCTTCGTAGTTTTGATTGTATTTCTGTTGACGGATTTTTCGGCGAGCTGTTGTATTTCGTCCCCGGAAATTTCTAGGAACCTGGCCCCCATTTTTTTTGCAAACAAAAAAACAAAGATGTGCGACTATGCTGTCGTCATGCATGGTTACTTCGTTATAACATCGTTTTTTGTGTGTTATACCTCTATGACGCAGAAATACCACCATTATCAACCAATCAAATCTCAGAAATTTCTTGCCCTATATTATAAATGTAATTGTACTACTACATGAGAAATTTCTGCAATAGTGATTGGCTATAGAGCTGTGGTATTTCAGCTTAATTTGAAATACCTACACATGATAATTACAAAACCTTTACTGGTTAAGTAGTATAAACAAATAATAGCATGATTTGTAACTGATATTTGGCATAAATACCACTCCTGATATTTCAAAACTGAAAAGTCGAAAAGTCAAAATATTTTTTCTTTTTAAGTCAGTTATGTATTAAATGAAGGTATTTTAATTTTTCACTCTGTTAAATGTCAGTTAATTTTTGGGCGGAATGTGGGGATAGGGGAGTCAATATGCCTGTTACAAATATTCTAGGTGTCAGGCGGGTTGAGGAAGGACATAAGGGAAATTTATGGAAGGGTGTGCCGTGGAGGCCAACAAATCCTCTCATTCCATTTGTTTAATACAAGAGACCTCTTCTGTGTGCCCAAATACTCCATAACGCTTGGTTAAAGAACATCTCCTTTGTTTCTTTAATCTGGAGTTAAGGAGCTTTTTCAGTGATCTATACTGCGCTTTTCACAAACATGCGAATTCTGACAGAAGTTCAAAAGCCATCTGACGATTGCGTTTTTCGCTGCCGTCAATCATCTTAACGGACCTCTTAGGAAACAAAACTTTACTTTAATGGGTTCAAAAGGTCATGGATTGTCATTTGTGATTGGTGAATTTCGAGCCGTTTTGTGTGTTTCTGTGTTTCAAGGCTCGTTGCTTGTTATCGTAATTATGATTGACGGCAGCGAAAAACGCAATTGTGAAGGCGGCTTTTGAACTTTAGAGTTTGCATGTTTGTGAAAAGCGCAGCCGAACACTGATCACAGTACACAGCATTTAGACTCTTGCTACCTTCAAGGTTCAAACCCTGTTCAAGGCATTGGGTCTAGAAAGATGTCCTCTTTAAGACGCTAAGCAACGAAATTGCATGCCCCTTAATTTGGAAACCGAGACCTTTTAAAAAACCAATTCCCTGTTTGGCGGCACATACGCGTTAGAGGCCCCGGGCTACCAGCAAAATCGTTCTGCGTTGAAATGGCTGGAGTCAGATATCAATACTTTTCTTGGTTAAGCGAATTCATCCTTAGATGCGCTAATCTGCAGGAAATTTTTTTTTATAACATTGCAGCCGAGCTGAAAATTAGAGACACTCTAAAGGAGATTTATACCACATCTCTAGACAAAATAGAAGAGGCTTTCACCGCCAATAATTTGTGCCGCTGTAAAAATCCAGTTACAACAGCTTTTGAGGTTAGTCTGTATCAGCATCAATCCTCTTATATAAATGCTTACAAGTGATTTGGGAGCGAAGATATTTTGAGAGCAAAAAATCATGGCGAGACACTTAAGTTTGAGTAGAAAACCCACCTACGGCCATCTTTTTCTATTTTCTGCGCGAAAGCGTTTAAAAAAATCAGCGAAGGTGATTCTCTTCAAACGGCCTCTTCCTTCTCACATCTCTGATCGGAAGAATTAAGAGCTGTGGGAATCAATTAACCAGGCAACCAGGTTGGGGTAAGGGCGCAGTGTTGTATCGTACTAAAACATACCCTTCAGTTGGATAAAATCTGTTAACCATTTTCTCACCGTTTGTATATAAAGCAAAAATAAATCAACAACGACAAGAATTATTTTAGGTCACGATATTCATACACATCATAATCATTTCTGGATTCAAGATCAAGCATGTTGGTCCAGCACATCATTGATCCAATTTTGTTGGAAGGTGTTGCCTCCCTTTGAAAGAACCAAATATTATTCACTCATTCAGGCCGGATTCACCATCATCAATCATCTTCAAGGCCGTCCAATGGTGTTCAGGGGAATCCAAAATTCGCTTTCACAGCCTAATGTCGGACACCCGTTTTTTATTACTCTTAATGCAGGTTTCATTGAAACTTAGGCAACTCTCCTACTATCGAGACGACAATGCAGTATTTTTTACTACGCTAGCAGAGCAGGTTGAGGACTTCTCTGTTACGCTTATGGATCAAATCAACACGAAAGAGGAAATCTCAATTGGGCACGAGGAAAGCAGTGATATGGACCCATATGCGTCTTTACTTGATAGTATTACCGAATCAGCTATTCGCTTTTCGCAGAAAAAGGTACACAAACTTTATAATGATATGGCTGCTGGATTTAAACGTTCAACAAAAGTTGCTATTAACCGTGCTTTTATACAACAAAGTTTTTCTACGTTTCCTGAGGCACAGAATATCGCAAGGTGCCGAAAAATATTGAGATTCTTCAAGGTATGAAAAAGGGTATGATTTTTGCGCCGTTTGATCTGAAAACGGGTACATTGTATAGACTTTGCCTATTTTGGTCTGGAATCACGGGCATGGTTTTCCAGGGAACGACAGGAGTGCATGAACGTATTTGTCGTTTCAATTCCAAGTGAATAAGAAAGAGAGTTAGAGTTATATGTGATTTCGAAATAGATTTTAAGGTTATAGGCTCCTGGTATGATGACAAAATTTTTCCTAGAGAAACGGATATGTATTTTGGGGGGCAGGTCTGAAAAGGGGTGTGGAAATGACATTTTTGGTCTGAAAATGGGGTTAGGATTTGGAGAATCGGGTGGCACACCCCCACCAAGAGTAACCCCCCACTGGGAAATCAGCCTACTGTCTGTAAGGGAATAAATATTTGCAGACAGCAGGCCTTACGGGATAACCATTCAAAACCAAAAAAACGGGAAATTTAAATGAAAATCTGATAGAGAGAGGAAAACACTCCGTCGACAAAGCTTCTGTCGGCGATACATTGCGTGAAAGAAATAAGAAAGAATTAATAATAGTACAAGATTTTAATTCGAAAGTAGCGATAATAGCAAAAATGTTTTACTTTCCATCAACTCAACTTTTTTGTGCTTTTATTTTTTCCCTAGTTTGTATCCCTTCCACTGTCGTACAGACTGCTGACCCAAAGGTGGAACTATGGTTTGCCACCTGACTGTCAACCAGGGAAAAAATTGAGGTTTCTTGTATATGTATTTATCGTACTCGACACTATTTTGACTCCTGTGTTTCTTCCTCTTATCACATATGCCTTCTACAAGGACCAGGTAACCTGTCTGACTCGTGAAGTGGTTAAACCGAACAAGAAAACATTAAGAGGTTCGTTACCGATGGAAGAACATTATTAAAGCCGAATTATATTCTTTACAAGCACTCCATTAACATAGAAACAAATAGAAATTCTCAAACTGCATATATTTCAGAAGGACCCTAAATAGGCAATTGACGTGTAAGTGTGTCAGTAGTAATTTATAGGAATTTTCGAGCAACTGTTCAAAGGAATTGTGAACCTAGAACTTCCTGTTGCTGTCCCTGTCTCCTTGCAAAAGGAGTTTATCAGAGATCTTAAGTTCCGACGGCGGCGATGGCAATGAGAACATAAAAAAAAAACTGAGCAAGAGGTTAAATAATCAAAACACCAACTCTGTAATTAAGTGCATCACATGTTTTTGTACAATTCTTTGCCGTCACTGTAAGACTACGACGTGAAAGTGCCTAATTCAATCTCTTTAATGGAGGACGTAAAAAAGCCACGAGGAAATTTTCTTTCTTTTTCTAAACTTGGATATCATATCTTAAAAGTTCTACTTTAGAAGACCCTCTGTAAAAACAAAGGAGACGAATTTTGTTGGAAGAAAAACATGAAAATTTCATAGCGGCGGTGAGAAAATGAGAAATGCTAGCAGGCACCAAGCTGAAATGAGCGGCAGTGAAAAACATAAAAGCGAACAGGAATTCAAGCAACAAAATTTTTGATGAGCTCATACGACAATTCCTCCATAAAAAATAATGTGTAACGAGGAAGTTTCACGTTTTAGTCGTGCAAAACGGCATTGTAGCAGAAAAAACAAGTTTTGGAAAAAAAATTGGGTGTCAGAACTCAGTTGCCTTGGCGACTTCAATGTTGATGCACGTGTCAAAACGACGTTAAAACGTTTCCAGACAAGTTTTAGGAAAAGTCTTTGTGCTTGGTGGTCATAGCTTAAACTGTTTTGAAGTTATTCAATTTTTTTCGTCTTGGGGAGAGGGATAAAGCCCCCCCCCCCCGGTCTGAATAGGGTTACTATAAAACTCCCCATTGACCAAACGTTCAGCAACATCGTCTCTATAAACATATCCGAATACGTTTTTGGCGCCTATAAATCCTAATACCCTATATGTACTTAAATCTGGAAACATTTATGAATCCAGTACGTACGTACGCACCTAAGTAATGACATGTAAACGTGGAATTGGCCACGATGTCTAATTACTGTGTTCGACGTTACAACTTATCATGTTTGTCTTGCAGATATGTACCTGGACTACTTAACAACCCCCTTCGTCATCTTTTTAAAGGAAAAACTACAACAAATAGTGTTCATAGCTTTACACATCAGAATATGTGTATTGGGTTCTCTTGTATCCCCAAGAATCGAGGAATATCTCATTCTTGTATTTTACATCGGATTGTTGATCTCTGAGTTTCAGCAATATTATACATCTCAATCCAAAGTTTATTTTCGGTAAGATGGCGAGGCTAAGACCTCTAATAAAGTAATTAACTTTCCCGTATAACCCTTCCTCAGACCTTCCTTATATTAGTCAATGAATGTTTATTAATTGCGAGTCAGAAAAGCTTATCAGTTTTCCTCGGTCCAGCTGTCGGGTCTGATTCTGACTATCTTCCAATGACGCGTGGGCTCCTCAACTGAGCGTAAGTTTGAAAAGAACTTTCATAAGAGGTCCAAATATTCAGCAATTGTCACAGACCTGAAAAAAAATTTGTATTAATGCAGATCAAAGGGTTTTAGCACAAAACTATTACCTCTTCAGGAGCTACAGTGGTGGTTAAAGGGAGATTTGGATTCCCTTTTTTTGCTCATCCTCTATAAATCATCTAGACGCTGTTCTTTAGCAACATAAACTCAAGCAGCAATACAAATAAATATATATATTATTCTAGAAAATAACAAATAAAAAACAATTTTCACTTCTATTATAAGATTGAGAGTTATATGAGTCCAACATTTGGATGCTTTAAATTATTTATGAACATAACATACTGTAGTTAATTATAATGACATTTTGTTTTCCATGCTTTTTTGATCGAAAGGTAGTTTTTGTTTTCTTTTTTACTGTTTACGCCCGACTTACCGTGAAATTTTTACTTTGCTTACCGTATGTTAAAGTGGNTCATTTGTAAAGTTGTTCTTCACAAAATACTTCTGAGTCTTGTCTTTCTTCTCCAGAAATATGTGGAACTATGTGGATGTCATTACCCTCTCCTGTCACGCTATCATATTTGTCCTCAGAGTTGCGTCCATCATTAAAGGTGGAGATCCGTACCATAACAGACTACTGGAGGTAATTAACTATCTCTACGGTGTAAACACTCTGCTCCTAGTCTTGAGGTTTTCAAGCATACTGGAATTAAACAAAACAGTTGGACCACTTCAGTTGGCTTTGTTCAGAATGATCGTCGACCTTATGATCATTTTAGTTCAGTTTGTGTTTGTAATTTTGGCTTTTTCTGTTGCCATCACAATGATCTACACCGCCGAGATGTCTTATTTGACGCCAGCACAAGAGGTGGAAACCAACCGGACCCAGGTTAAAAGGTGAGGCTAGCGCATGTTTTTTTTTCCTTTTTTTTCTCTCGCTGCTTTCATCTTAAGTTCTTTTTTTAACCGGAAATTAACAGATGTGTATCTTTGCTAGTTATTTTGTTTTATTTTTTTTAACTAATTCTTTGTAAACTTATTTTTTTTAGCTTTTGTGCGAGTGGGTCATCGTCTTGGTAAGTTCTTTACTCACGTGATAAAAAAAAAACATAAAACTTCTTGCCGAGTTTTACTGAGACCTAAGCTTTATAAAGGCCTCTGGAATTCATTAACCCTCAGATCAGGCGTTGCATTTTTGTTCTAATCCTGCCCCGCTTGCCTCTGTTCGCCGGGAAAAAAAGTAAGTATCTTCCTGGAATTGACATTTCTTTTTTACCTCTTGGTGTACAAATCAAGCCATTTAATATGATAGCAGTTAACCTGTCATTGTTAAAATCAGTTGATAACTAATTTCGTTTCTTGAAAACTTGCGTAATTGTCAGCTAGTGTCAAAATATAAAGAATGACGGATGGACGAAAGACTTTCCTATGATTATAACGTTGACTTTTTTAACGATGCATGTCAGTAACTTCCCCCCAAAAGCGTTAATACCGCTGAAGTACTAGTTCCCTGGCAATTTCAACATATTTTATCAGTGCTATTTTCCAATGCATAGCTTATTTAAAGCATCTACCCATCTTGTATGGTCAGTCTTTGGCCTGACGAATCTGGAGACCCTGGAATCCCATGACACCTGGTCAGATACAGTCGTTGGAATCCTCTACGTAATGTTTCTGGTTTTAACTGTCATTATGCTGATCAACATGCTAGTCGCTTTGCTCAACAACACTTACAATAAAGTGGAGGTAAATAACGTTGACGTAACTTTTTGATCATCGAAATCGGTTGAAACTTTCATTCTGAAAAAAACAAATCAAAAACATAACCAACACGCATATAAATAGGTTCGGGCCACAATCTACGTTGGGAGGTTCGACTGTGAGTGTTATTTTAAAGGGACTATGTCTCGCTTTTTGCTATCTTGTCAATTAAAATAAAAAGCGAACTAAAGACTATTTTCCAACTAATCGAATTCCAAAAATAGTGGTTCAGCAGGCACTAGAACTGTTTCCTGCTCTTTATTGCAGCAGATGACAAAGAGCGGATTTTACTTAAAACAGTAATATCCTTGTGACAAAGACCCTCTAAGACCTTAAAAGAATTGAGAGTTACTTAGAAGAGTGAAAGCAAGACGTCGAAAAAACAATCAAAGATGTCTATTTTTATTGACTCGACACCCGCAGGAGATAATTAAAGCATCTGGGTCCCCTAATATGCACTCTCTAAAACATATAATGTTGCGTTTCAGGATAAAATTCTTTAAATGGCTTACGGAATACGGGATTGAGTGAATGTTTTAATCAGGGAACATTTCTTGTTGGCCATGTTTGTTTTTAGACTAACGCAGATGTGGAATGGAAATTTGCTCGCGCAGTAGTCGCTGATGAATATAGAAGACATCATCCCATTGTTGTTCCTTTCAACATCATCACCTTCCCTATCTCTCACTGTTATATCAAGAAGTACGGAGACAGCCGAGCAGAGGTTAGGAGAGGCTAGCTGCAGATAATTTCCTAACCCGGAA